CCTCCCAAAGTGCTGGGATTACAGGCGTGAGCCACCACGCCCAGCCATAATTTGTAGTTTAAAACCTCACACTCCCTGGGCTTAACAACATTGATAATTATCCATAATTTTATCTGGCCCTTCCTCCTATCATGAAAAAAATCACCATAAATTACTGTTTAATTGTAATATTGTCCCTACACATTTACTAGGAATGCTAAAAAATGCTTCCTGGTGGAAAATATTGTTACTGATGAGGTATATTTTGGAATCCTTTATTTTTTTATGACAATTTTTTTTCTCATCCAACAGTGTGACTGTTTCTGCATCACTGAATTCTTTCATTTGTTTAGCTAGCACATACTAAATGCAAAACACTGAACTAGAGAGTGGAAAATTTTAACCCAGTAGTAGTATAATAAAATTAAGGCATAATTTCTGCACTCAACTAGATTACAGTCTTGAGGGGTAGGGGTGGGGAACGTAAGCAAAACTGGAGATAAAGAAGATAGCATTCTTTCAGGGTTTAAGGGTTCACTGTTTATGTACATAAGTGACTTCTAGGTTTCAAATTCAATCATGTCTATTAAGATATGCTCCCATTATGGGTCTGAAGGAAGAGAAAGACCTACAGAAGAGATTACTATTAAACTTGCTTCACCTCAATGTTAAGAGTCATTTAATACTTTATAGAAAGTGGTATTAAATAGATATTTACTTTAAACTTATAGCTTGATCTATCCTCTATTTCTATCCTCTACTTCTTCTTCACTTTGAGTTCAAAGAATTACCAGAGAAAAATAGAAAAAATAGCTGTACTCCAACCCTTTAATTACAACTTAAATTTGCATGTCAGTTGTCTAAGATTTGGCCTCTATGTCTGACTTGTCTTTTCTTCCAGAAAATGAAATGGTTGATGTGAATATGGTAATGGATGAAGCAAAAGCTTTTACAGGTAAGTCAGAAGTCATGGTGAGGACATTCATTTTTAACTAAGACCTTAATGCTCTATAGAGAAAAAATTTAAATGTTTTTAAACAGTAGTATTTGGCTGGACATGTTGGCTCACTGTTGTAACCCCAGCACTTTTAGAGGCTGAGGCAGGAGGATCACTTGAGGCCAGGAGTTCAAGACCAGCCTGGACAACAAAGCAAAACTATGTCTCTACAAAATAAAAAGGGGGGGCATGGTGGCATATGCCCATAGTCCCAGCTACTTGGCAGGCTGAGGTGGCTGAGCCCAGAAGTTTGAGGCTGCAGTGAGCTATGATCACCACTGCACTCCTCCCTGGGTGACAGAGCAAAAAACCTGTCTCATAAAAAATGTATTTAAACAGTAGGTTTCTCTTCAGGCTATCAGTGACATGCTAAATTGACACCCCTACATATTTAATGGTTAAATGTTTGTTTTATAATCTTATGCTTTGCTTTGGAATTTTTCCTGTAAAGACATATTATGTAGAGTTGTGAACGATAATGTTTTTCCACCTTATATTGTTTAAACAACCAAAATATAAGTCAGTTTCAAGTCTCAAGGTGAAAGCTTATGCAAGCTAGCCAAGAAATATGCTTACCTGTCAAAAGGCCCCATAATCCAGGTAATATGATAGTATTTGCCTTGTATCTGAATTATACGAGCTATTATTTCTCTTGAATTAAAAGTATAAATTCTCAACAGATTTTATACTGTTCAGAAACAGAATTCATGCTTTTAATGCAAGAGACAGAAAAGAGAAGGAAAAGCTCATATGTCCTTGTATCCACATGTCCTTTGAATCTATGTAGTTTATCAAATTTCATTCGGCCTCCTAAAGTGCTGGGTTTACAGGTGTGAGCCACCATGCATGGCCAGTAATTTTTTCATAATTTGAAATCATTATTCTTTTCCTAAAATTCTTATTTGTTAACAATTCTCATCTTTTCAAAGGAGAGAAAGTTAGTGTCAGTAATCTGGGCAAAGTGCTGAGGAAAATGGGGCTCGTGCTCACTGATAAGGACCACAAGAAGCTGCTGAAAACTCTGCCAATTCGCAGTAAGTATTTAGCACATCCTTTGAAGCTTGGATTTAGGGGCTCGTGTGTGGCAACTCCTTAAATTATACATGTATATGCCCAGTAAAACTCCTTTAGAAAACACAGTTCTCACACCAAAAGAAATCTTGGCCAGACTCAGTGGCTCACGCCTGTAATCCCGGCACTTTGGGAGGCAGAAGCGGGACGATCACGAGGTCAGTCCATCTCTCCAAAAAAAATTTTTTAAAAAGAAAGAAAAAGAAAAGAAATATTGTTGCCTGTTTTGTTGCTTATATTTTAATACTGAAAGCTAGCAACATCTTTCACTGGGGGTATCCCACCATCCAGGCTAAATTATCCTGTCACCCTGGGAGCACTTCCTAATCTCATCATGACCAATGAGAAGGAAACCAGGGAAGAAAGAGAAGGAAGAAAAAAGACAGAAACAGGGACATAACTGTACTTAATTCAACCAATGGATAGATTTATAAAAGGGAAAGCGTTCTTTATCTTTGTTTTCATTCTTACTTAAGTGTGAAAGAGAAGAAACTTCCAAATAAATTGGAAGGTTTTTTTCCCCTGAAATTATGGATGCTATGTTGTCTTTGTGCTGATTTTGTTAGTCTTCCCGTCATTTAACCCATATTCTGAATTATGTCTTGTCTTACAGCTAGTGGAAAGGTATATAAGAATAGATTGCTCAAAGGTGTGAAGGCCCTCAACGGTGAGTAGGAAGCATGGTGAAAGAACAAGTAAAAAAAATCATGGCTAGGCGCAGTGGCTCACGCCTGTAATCCCAGCACTTTGGGAGGCTGAAGTGGGCGGATCACCTGAGGTTGGGAGTTCGAGACCAGCCTGACCAACATGCAGAAACCCTGTGTCTACTAATACAAAAATTAGCCAGGCGTGGTGGTGCATGCCCATAATCCCAGCTGGGAAGCTGAGGTAGGAGAATTGGTTGAACATGGGAGGTGGAGGTTGCAGTGGGCCAGGATCACGCCATTGCACTCTAGCCTGGGCAACAAGAGCAAAACTCTCAAAAAAAAAAAAAAAAAGGCCAGGCGCAGTGGCTCACGCCTATAATCCCAGCACTTTGGGAGGCCGAGGCGGGTGGATCATGAGGTCAAGAGATCGAGACCATCCTGGTCAACATGGTGAAACCCCATCTCTACTAAAAATACAAAAATTAGCTGGGCATGGTGGTGCAGCCTATATTCCCAGCTACTCAGGAGGGTGAGGCAGGAGAATTGCTTGAACCCAGGAGGCAGAGGTTGTGGTGAGCCAAGATCGCGCCATTGCACTCCAGCCTGGGTAACAAGAGTGAAACTCCGTCTCAAAAAAAAAAAAAAAAAATTCTTATGTTTGGTATTTTCTTTTAAATGTTCCAACTTCACTTCCTGCCAATTTACTGATTCACTGTTAAGACATAACTTATCTTCTTTGAATGCATTGGATTTTTGGGATATAAGTTAAAACATCATATCACTATAGGAAGTTTCTAACAGTTTTCTGGCTAGCCTTATATAATTAGTTGTTGTTTTAACCATGAGTCATTAGACCTGCCTACTCCTCTCTATTAACCTCTCAGGGAAAACCAAAGCAGAGACCCTGAATCAGTATTAAGAAAAATACCCTATCTTTCCATACTAACTCTATGTAAATAATTATTATTTCAATTGTCAATTAGAAAAAGATGTTTTAAAACACTAAAATACTATGAGAAATCTATGCAACTCTAACCACTTTATAAAAAAAAAAAAAACTGAAACAGGCTGGCACAGTGGCTCATGCCTGTAATCTCAGCACTTTGGGAGACCAAGGCAGGCAGATCACTTGAGGCCAGGAGTTTAAGACCAGACTGGACAACATAGTGAGACCCCATCTCTACAAAAAATTTTAAAATTACCTGGGCATGGTGACACACACCTATAATCCTACCTACTCAGGAGGCTAAGGCAGAATGATTGCTTGAGCCCAGGAGTTCAAGGCTGCATGCAGTAAGCTATGATCACAACACTGCACTCCATCCTGGGCTACAGAGAAAAACCCTGTTTCTAAAAATAAAAAAGAAATGGAAGTTCTCATATCTTCCACAAATCCCCTCCTCATAAAGGTAAATACTGTTAACAATTCAGCAGTTATCTTTCTCAATTCTTTCCAACTTTTAACAGACATATCTAAATCTAGGGAGACACACACATACACACACATTAATAGTTTCTTTGTATTCTTGTGCTTTAACCACCAATTAGGATTTCTGATGCATGACCATGATTAACACTTTTCACTCTTAAACATCAGTACTCATATTCTTATTCCATGCGCTTCTTTCTTAAGGGCCAAAGGTCAAAATAAAAAAAATGGAGACATTTTTGGAAAACATGGGAATTAAAATCAAGGAAGAGGAACTTGAGGAACTCATGACCCAACTACCAACTGAGGGTGAGTATTACATATATCTCTATGCTCTTCACAGAAACATTAAGCCCCTCCATTAGATTGCTGAAATTAGCCTTTTTTGAAGTAAATGTAAAAACTTAATTCTGACTCATGATGAAATACCATCTTCAAAAATGTTTTTGAAAAGATATGTCAGGGATGCCACTTGAAGCCTCAGTCATGCCTAGGAATGCCACACACTTAAGGAGTGGAAAGAAAAATGAATTGAAGGGAACATTTAAGAGAAAACTTAAGAAAGTCAGAAGTCAAACGATAAATTAGAAATGAATAATTGCAAATCAAAGCGCTAATATCCCTAAGGTAGCAAAAGCCCTTGTACGTTGATAAGAAACATACTATAATAGAAAAATAGGCAAATATACAAATAGGTAACTCATAGAAGAGGAAATATAATATAAATATCCAATAGCATATGGAAAGATGTTTAACCTCACCAATAATCATGAAAATGCAAAATAAAACACAATGCAACACTATCTTCACTCATTAGACTGGCAAAACTTAACAAGATTGATAATATTTAGTTCTTATGAAAATGTGAGGAAAGGGACTTACTGATAAATTTGCCATTGCTTTATATACTTTTTAAAAAGTCATCTGACAGTGTCTAACGGGGAAAAAAATCTTCTCTTTTCCCTGGTGAATCCAGCATACGTTCCTCATGTAGTATACATTATTTCTTTGCGCTGGGTCCTGGTCCCTGTTTTGCCACAGACTTGCTGACAAATAATTTAACACCACTTAATCTTAGTTTCTTCATATAGAAAATGGTAGTTTAACTAAATGTGGCTCTATGATCACTTCTTGCTCTGAAATTAATATATATAATGCGTGTAATACAGTCTAGACTAGTCAGTAAATGTTTGATGATGGATGGTGGTGTGGTGGTGATGATAATGAGGAAGATAGAAAAGTTGTTAAAAAAGAACAGGATGAAGAAAAAAGGAAATTCTGTTATCTATGAATTAATTTTTCCTGTTATAAAAACATTTCTTAATAGAATACATATTTGTTTATTAATTATTAATTTTATATAAATAAATAAGACAAGATGCAATTTAAAACCTCCTATAAGAAACAGCACTGGGCTCACTGTCTTCCCTGTCTTCCTTCTCTGCTACTCCTATCCTTGTTGTTCAGTATCTCTCATATAGATCAAGGGCTTTTGACTTGGTGTCATGGACTCCTTTGGAAATCTGATGAATGGATCACTTCTGATTATAATGTTTTAAAATGTATAAAATAAAATAATAGGATTACAAAGAAACTAACTATATTAAAATATAATGTATCAAAACATTAAAATATAAATTACTGGTACTTATTAAAACATTTAACACTTTCTAGTAGCAGATCAAATTATTTTTATAATTTTAAAGTAATGATGAGGGCCAGGTACGGTGGCTCACTCCTATAATCCCAGCACTTTGGGAGGCCAAGGGCAGATCATTTGAGGTCAGGAGATTGAGACCAGCCTGGCCAGCATGGTGAAACCCCGTCTCTACTAAAAGTACAAAAAAAATTAGCTGGCCATGGTGGCGCATACCTGTAATCCCAGCTGCTAGGGAGGCTGAAGCAGGAGAATCATGTGAACCCAGGAGACAGAGGTTGCAGTGAGCCAAGATTGCTCCACTGCACTCCAGCCTAGGCAACGGAGTAAGACTCTGTCTCAAAAAAAATAAAATAAATAAAAAATAAAGTAATGATGAGCATAAGCAACATTTCAACGTATTTGGAACAACTATATTATGATTTGAAAATGTCAGTGATTTATATTAGTGACAAAGTCACAGCCTCTGCCACTATTCTCATGGTTTATTGCCTACGTTAATAATTGAAGAAAATAATAAATTTAAGTTAATCACTAGTGAAAAGAAAGACACACTTTTGCCCAAGCATTGTGGCTCACACCTGTAATCCCAACACTTTGGGAGGCCAAGGCAGGAGGATTGCTTGAGGCCAAAAGTTCAAGATCAACTCAGGCAACATAGCAAGACCCTATCTTTACTATTATTATTTTTTAAAGTCTTTTTTTTTCCATTCCAGCTCAAGACCTCCCTGAATTCTAGCAATACAGGGTCAGTAGACCCAGGTTAAAAACATCTGATACAGGTCACCCATTCAATACTCTGACCTCTTGTTCCTTGATATCTTTCACTTCAGTCATTTTTTCCTCCCTTCTATCTTGATTACCACTCACATAGTAATGACCTAGAGCTTGTCCCTCCCTAATACTTCATCTCCAAAATCTCTATTTCATAGACTCACTCTCTAACCTTTATCCTTCCAGTTCATTTACTATGCAGATATTTTTGCAATAACACCACATAGAAATTGCTGAAAAACCTCCTGTTTTGTAAAATTATCCACTAAAGTAACTGAGCTTATGGAGAAAATTCTGGAAGCACACTCAAAATCTATACCAATTTGTAACCAGAACACTACCAAAAGCACAAGGAAACTTGTACAGCCCAGGCAAATAGAACAGAACAACTGTAAGATATTTAAGAATACACACACACACACACACATGGAGTTAAAGAGCTGGCTTGCCATTCTGAAATAGTGTAGGTGGAAGTAGAGCTCTGAGCCAGTGAAGCTGGTTCCCCCTCCTGCATCACAGGCACTAATTTTTTTTTTTTTTTTTTTGAGATGGAGTTTCGCTCTGTCACCCAGGCTGGAGGGCAATGGCGCAATCTCGGCTCACTGCAACCTCCCCCTCCTGGGTTCAAGCGATTCTCCTGACAGGCACTCATTTTTTAATTTTATTAAAATATGAAACAGAAAGGGCTCCAGCTGTAGCTCCAACCTAAGATTTTCTTCTTTTCTTGTTGAAGAATTCTTTTCTTGTTTAGGAAAGATTATGTATGAGCCAACACACCTTTCACATTACTGTGACATTTGTCCATTTACCAACTGAATATGATGACATGATGCTACTGAATCACGTGTTGTACCAGAACAGAGTACATAACTCCAACTCCAGCTACTCCAGCCACGTGGAGACCTTCACACCTTTGACCCTACTATTTTATTATTCAACACCATCACCATGTCTCAGTTTTTTTCCTTCCTTAAATTAGATTCACTGCTTCAACATCATATAAGCTTACAAACTCTCAGAACTTCAAATTTGCTTGGCAAAAACTCGGCCATCTTTTTACTTCATGCTTATTCCTGAGCAGCTTAACATTGCCAGAGAAGATCACAAAGCCGTGCCAATAGAACTCACTTCACATAATGGGCAGAAACTTCAAGTTCCTTAACACTGCCAAAAAAGTCTCTGCTATATTTTCCAAGTAAATTTACTTTCTCACTCTCAGAGACAATTTCACACCTTCTCGGTCCAAATTTCACCTCAACTCTCAACTGATGATCTCACCTCAAACTTCATAGAGACAATAGATGCAGTTAGAGAAGAAAGATCTCATTTTCCTACCTCTGTTTCTATGAACTTACCTATACCTATGCCCACATGCCCCGCCTTTTTTCTTTGTCTTTTTTGAGACAGAGTTTCACTCTTGCTGCCCAGGCTGGAGTGCAAATGGCACAATCTCGGCTTACTGCAACCTCTGCCTCTTGGGTTCAAGCGATTCTCCTGTCTCAGCCTCCTAAGTAGCTAGGATTACAGGCATGCATCACCTCGCTTAGCTAATTTTGTATTTTTAGTAAAGATGGGGTTTCTCCATGTTGGTCAGGCTGGTCCCGAACTCCAACCTCATATCCACCCACCTCAACCTCCCAAAGTGCTGGGATTACAGGCATGAATAACCGTGCCCAGCCATGCCCTGCCTTTTGTCTTGCTATAAAGGGGAAGAATCCTCCTTTCGTGGGCCAGCCTTTCCACTTGCACCCTGCATCCTATTTCCTTTTGCCTTCTCAAAGACTTACCTCCTGCAATATTTCCCCTCTCTCCTGCATCATCAATTTCTCCCTCTTTGCAGTATCTCTCTATATATTTCTCTTGACATGCAGCTGTGCTTTTCTCTCACACTTGTTCCCTGCCAGCTACCACATCATCTCTGCACAGCAGAGTTGCCTCGAAAAGTTGTCATTACTCATTGTCTTCATATCCTCACCTCCCATTCACCCTTCAGCATTCTCCAGTCAGGTTTTTATCTCCACAATGGCACCAAACAAGCTCTCAACAAGATTGTCAATGACCTACCTCTTGCCAAGGCTCATAGTCCGTACTTTGTTCTTACTTTACTTGACATGTTGGCAGCATTTGACATAAGCGGCCACCCCCTTTTTATTGAAATACATTTTTTGGCCAGGCGTGGTGGCTCATGCCTGTAATCCCTGCACTTTGGGAGGCTGAGGCAGGTGAATCACTTGAGCCCAGGAGTTAGAGACCAGCCTAAGCAACATGGTGAAACCCTGTCTCTACAAAAAAAATAAAATAGCCTGGCTTGGTGGCACGCGCCTATAGTCCCAGCTACTTGAGAGGCTAAGGCCGGGGGATTGCTTGAGCCTGGGAGGTGGAGGCTGCAGCGAGCTGTGATTGTGTGCCACTTCACTCCAGCCTGGGTGACAGAGCAAGACCCTGTCTCAAGAAAAGGAAAAATAAATGTGTTTTTCTCTAGACTTTTAAAGCCCCATACTCCCCTGGTTTTCTTCTTCCCTCGCTGACATTGTCTTCTCAGTTTTCTTGCTGACTGTTCCTCCCCTGCAAGATCTCTAAATAACGAAGTGACCCAAGGTTAGACCCTTGGCTGTCTTTTCATCTACACTCTCCTCTTAGGAGATTGCATTCAGTCTCATTGGGTCAGATACCTTCTCTAAGCTGGTAAAGTAAATTTATATCTCCAGCTCAATCTCTCTAAGTTAGCAATAGCATATCAAACTAGTTATTTGATATCTCCACTGGGATTTCTAAAAGCTATCACCAATTTAATGGAATTATTGATTAACTTTACTAAAAAATCTCACGCCCTCCTCATCTCATTAAAGGCATCCCATTCACCCCGTTGACTGGGGAAGGTAGACTAGGTTCCATCTTTGATTTCTCCTTCCTTCATATTCCACATTTAAATCTAGGTTCATCAACACCTGTGAAAGAAGGGAAAACAAAATTTCGAAAAAGAAATCTAGGTTCAACTTGAAAAATATGTCCTGAATCCATCACTTGTCACCATCTCCACTACCGTAACCACAGCCCAAGCCACTGTCATCTCTTTACTGGGCCACTGAAACAAGCTCCTGTCTGCTCTCCATTTCCCCAGTTTCTTTATCCTATCCATACCAGCCAGAGTGGTCTTTTGAAAGCTGAAATCAGGTCATGTTACTCCAGCTTTCCAAGGCCTCCAGTGACATTCCATTGCAACCAAAATAAAGTCCAGACTTTATCATCATGCCCTACAAGGCTCTGCATTATCTGGCCCCATCACACTGACCTCTGTCTCTCAATCATGGCAAATTCAGTCCCACCATACGACTATTGTACATACTTTTTTTCTACTTATTCTTCCCCAGTTCTTCACATGGCTACTCATTTCTCATCATTCAAGCTTCAACCCAAATAGATCCTCTTCTGAGAGGCCTTCCTTGACCTTCTGTCTAAATCAGTCCCATCCTCTATTACTCTCTATTATGTTGCCCTATTTTATTTTTGACAGCATCTTAACAGTACGTCAAATCCTTTCTGTTTATATGTTAATTATCTCTCTCTCTCACTACATTGTACACTCCTTGAGAGCCAGAACTCCGTCACCTTGCCTACTTTTGTATACCCAAAGCCTATAAAAGTGCTGTTGATTAACTGACTAAATAAAAGTACATAGGGTCAGAGTCATTTATTCTCTCCCTATACTTAACTGTAACCAGTCTCTTTAAAGCAATGAAAAATTGAATAGATTTGTTACAATGGAAACTTTCTTTCTTTCTAAGATAACACTGTTATCTCTGAGAATAAGTCCATAAAATTATAAGGAAAAATGTAAACATTAGTAAATTCTGGCTTGGCGTGATGGCTCATGCCTGTAATCTCAGCACTTTGGGAGGCCAAGGTGGGTGGATCATTTGAGGTCAGGAGTTCAAGATCAGACTGGCCAACATGGTGAAACCCCATCTCTACTAAAAATACAAAAAATTAGTTGGGCATGGTGGCATGCACCTGTAATCTCAGCTACTTGGAAGGCTGAGGCAGGAGAATCACTTTAACCTAGGAGGCAGAGGTTGCACTGAGCTGGGATCACACCACTGCACTGTAGCCTGGGCAACAGAGTGAGACTCCATCTCAAAAAAAAAAAGAAGAAGAAGAAGAAAAGATTACTGAAGTCTTATGCTCTTCATAACTTCAGAACTTCATATAGCATAAATGTTGAAGGTCTCAGTAACATCAGTTCATCTGACTCTGAGGTATACTTCCCTTGCCTTACAGGTGAGACAACAGTTGATGTGAAAGACTTAATGGATGCTGTCAGTTACATCAAGGGTGAGCTGCAAGCTATAATGGAAATATGTTATAAATAGCATCTTAATATTTGCAATTAATGTTGGAGAAGAATATTTCCCATTCATAAGTATTCAGATATTTTTCATATAACATATGTTCCATTTTTGTGGATGCTGCTGAAGTTGAGTAAACAATAACTCATCTATTTATATATCACTGACCATACTAGTCTCCAAAATTTTCCCCTAAGGAGTTCTTCAGGCCAGGCACAGTGGCTCATGCCTGTAATCCCAGCACTTTGGGAGGCCAAGGCGGGCAGATCATGAGGTCAGGAGTTCAAGACCAGCCTGGCCAACATGGTGACACCCTGTCTCTACTAAATATACAAAAAATTAGCCAGGCATGGTGGTGCATGCCTGTAATGCCAGCTACCCTGGAGCTGAGGCAGGAGAATCGCTTGAACCTGGGAGGTGGAGGTTTCAGTGAGCCAAGATTGTGCCATTGCACTCCAGCCTGGGCAACAAGAGTGAAACTCCGTCGCCCAAAAAATAAAAAGAGTTATTAAAAGTAGTAATTGATATCAAGAGCCACAAAACTTTTCATACCCCTTTTCCCACTAACCCCACTCTTAGAAATTTATCCTATGGAAATAGTTTTATTGAATAAAATTAAAAATGTTCTGCCTTGGCCGGGCGCGGTGGCTCAAGCCTGTAATCCCAGCACTTTGGGAGGCCGAGGCGGGTGGATCACAAGGTCAAGAGATCAAGACCATCCTGGTCAACATGGTGAAACCCCGTCTCTACTAAAAATACAAAAAATTAGCTGGGCATGGTGGCGCGTGCCTGTAATCCCAGCTACTC